TTCCATATTGGTGATATTTTCTAAATTTTATTGTAAGTGCATGTTCTCCCTGTTTGGAAAAAAAACTGGGGCGGGGGTGGGGAGCTGGACAGATGATTCAGAGGGCTAGAGCACGTGCTCTGCATGTAAGAGCAGCACAGCCTGGCACCCCAGCACTGTCAGGAGTGGACCCCAAACACCACTGGGCATGACCCCCAAAACAACAAACATTATTTAAAAGAAAACATATGATGCTGAAGAGATAATACAGTGGATAAGACATCTGCCTTGCATACGTTTGGCCTGGGTGAGGCCCTGGCACCACGCATGGTCCCCTGAGCATTGCCAGACCACCATGCATGGTCCCCTGAGCAGTCAGACTGAAGGAAGTCCTGGGCATAGTCAGGTGCAGTCCAAAAATATTTTTTTTAATTTTTAATAAAAAGACAACATATACTGTAACTTCCCTGGAAACAGTATCAGAAGGAATCAGAATAAAACAAAAACATGGCCACATACTAATTACATAGGGCTGGAGTGATAGCACAGCGGGTAGGGCGTTTGCCTTGCACGCAGCCAACCCGGGTTCGATTCTTCTGCCCCTTTCGGAGAGCCTGGCAAGCTAACGAGAGTATCTCGCCCGCACGGCAAAGTCTGGCAAGCTATCCATGATGTATTCAATATGCCAAAAACAGTAATAACAAGCAAGCCTCACAATTTGTTGTGAGATGTTACTGAGCCCGCTCGAGCAAATCAAGGAACAATGGGAGTGCTACAGTGCTATACTAATTAAACAAGTAATCAATTTAATTCCCTGAAGCAGAATGTAACGGTCACTATCACTGTCCTGCCGTTGTTCCTCGATTTGCTCGAGTGGGCCCAGTAACATTGTGAGACTTATTACTGGCTCTCTCTCTGGAGAGCCCGGCAAGAATGACGGAGGAATCAAACTTGGGTCAGTCATGTGAGCCACGTGTAAGGCAAACGCCCTCCCTGCTGTGCTATCACTCCAAAATGAAGAAAATACAATTTCTCTAGAGAATCTTCCATCTAGAGCTAAATTAGTTTTTTTAAGATATAAAAGTAACATTATGATTGATTTTGCAAAGGAATGATCCTACTTTTCCTGAGCTTCCCTGAGTACATATCATCACATGTTCCTTATGTACACAGAAATCCATCACGAAATCCTCTAATAGATTTTATCAAACCATTACCATGCCTGGCACATAATAAGTGCTCAAATTTATTCTGATGAAATAATAGCCTGAGTTTATATATAGAGCTAGACAGCTTTTATGTAAAATGTCATGCATTAATTAGTAGATCAAACGTGCAAAAGAATAGTGCCATTTAAACTGCAATATAGAAATGGGCCTGAGACAAAGGAAGTATGCTCTGATTTTCCTCAAATAACCACATTCCACTTACGATTAATAGCCAGCTCTCGTGATACAGACACTGCAAAACGTAGACAAGAAAGTTTGATGTTGAGCCCATCATCCTTCATACCCACAGATTAAAATTAGTGCTCTTTTGTAGCAGGTAGAATGAGACTTGGTAATAATTTTTTTTCAGCAGAACCTGCCACTCAAAAGGTTAAGGATTAAAATCTGACCACCCTTGGGGCCAGACAGCACTCAGGTAAGGCATTTGCCTTGTATGCAGCCAAACCGGGTTCAATATCTGGCCTCCCATATGGTCCCTCAAGCACCACCAGGAGTAATTCCTGAGCAGGTGTAATTCCTAAACCAGAAGTAATACCTGAGCATTGTCAGGGATAACCCAAAAACAAAAAATAGAGACTACCACCTAAGAAGATAAATGTTAGGTTTTAAACCATGACAGTAAAGGTAATGTTCAAATATTCCATTAACCAGATAAACCAGAATACTGAAACAAGGTTAAGATTTCCTTTTTTTTCTTTTCTTTCTTTCCATTTTTGGATCACACCCAGCAATGCTCAGAACTGAATCCTGCTTCTTCAAAGTAAGAAAATACTAAGGTAGATTCCTCATTTTTTTCATGCAAGAGTTAAAAGGAAGTTTCAATGATCAGATTGAACTAGAAAAAAAAAAGGTAACTTCTAATTATACCTATAGTTATCAGCAAGTTGTTCTTCAGGCATATGTTTAAATTATCAGTACATAATGATTGCCATAAAATTCCCAAGGGCTTTGGGGACAGTAAGTGGTTTCTACAGAAACAACTATTAAAGATTCCTTTGGGGACGTTTCCTACCAATTGTTATCAAAGGGAAGGACTGCCAAGAGAAAGCTAGAAAACTATCAATGCATTAACATTTTTATGACACAAACAGCAAACTGAATCTCTTAGAATAATTGTAAAAGTATTTCAAACCTAGGAAAGATTGCTGGTCATTCATTTTCCTTAAATACTCCATCTGCAGACACCAGAAAGTTGGTCTGAGTGTTTTCTAACCAACTAGCACACTGTCATCAACTAGCACACTGAAGAACACATCCCATCACCACGTGAACATTCAGGTTCCAATTTTAAGTATTTCTCACTATTTGTAATTAGCTATTTTATTATCTTGGGTATTTTTCTGTATAACTTCTTTAAAAATCAGCGACCTCATCTATCTTCTTCACTGGTATACGCCTTATATTTACCATAATGCCGGGATCACGATAAGTGTTCATTAATACTTAATGAATTAACAGATGGATGAATTTTGTAATAGAGGGCAACATATGTTAAGGATAGCCACTAGACTCATAAATTTCTGGAAAAGAAAAAAAATTAAAGGTTGAATTATTCGGACTTTTATTACTAACAAATTAAGATATAGTGTAAAAACAAAAACTTTTTTTTTTATAATCAAAATGACCTCAAATTTACAACACAATGGGAACTTACATGTTTGCTCTAAAGAGATAAATAAATCCTGGTGGAGAAAGAAAACAGTAGAGAAAAATTGTGCTAGTGTTCGACTAGGTATTTATACATTCAGTCTCAGATAAAATCCTCCAGGTACGGCTGCCAAGTTACTGATCCAAGTTCATATAACCAAACAGTGTTAAAATTAGGAATAGCTTTCTATATGCAAATAATGAAACGAATGAAAGAGAAATTCAAAACAATCTCATTCACAATTGTGCCTCAGCAAACCAAGTACCTGGGAATCAGCTTAACAAAAGAGGTGAAAGACTTATACAAAGAAAACTATAACTCACTACTAAAAGAAAAGAAAGAGAACATGAGGAAATAGAAACACATCTCCTGATTGTGGACTGGAATATTGTCAAAATGACAATCTTGCCCAAAGCATTATGCAGATTCAATGCAGCCCCTATAAAAATATCCATGACTTTTTAAAAAGTGTTTTGTTTTGTTTTTTTTGTTTTGCAGGGGTGCACATCCAGCAATGCTCAGAAATCACTCCTAGTGATGCTCAGGGGACCATATGGGATGCCACGAATTGAACCCAAGCCCGATGTGTGCAACGGGAGTTATGACCTACCTATGTACTATCACTCTAACTCCCCCTCCCCATGACATTTTTTAAAAGACATAAATCAAATGCTGTTGAAATTTATATGGTATAATAACCACCATCTTATCACCACTACCCTGAATAGCCAAGGAAATCCTAGGAAAAAATGAAGATGGGAGACTTCTCTCCCCCCAACTTCAAACTATACTATAGAGCTGTAGTAAATGAAACACTGTGGTACTGGAATACGGACAGACTCTCATATTAATGGAATAAAATTGAGAATCCAGAAACAGAATCTAAGGAATACAGACAGCTAATCTTCAACAAAGCAGAAAAAAGTATGAAGCAAGAAAAGCTTTTTCAGCAGTGTTGGGAAAACTGATTGGTCACATGCAAAAGAACAAAATGAGCTCAGATCCCTAACACCATGCTCGAAAGTCAAATCAAAATGAAGTCAAGGTCTCACTATCATACCTGAATTCATAAACTATACTGAAGAAAATGTAAGTGTAGCAATTCATGACATTGATTCTAGAGGTATGTTTAATGATTCAGTGTCACTGGCCAAGAAAGTGGAACCAAAGAACACAAAGGGGACTATATCAAACTAAGAAGTTTCTGCACTGCCAAAGAAATCATGACCAGAACAAAAAGATACTCCACAGACTGGGAGAGAATATTCACCCATTGCTCATCCAATGGGGGTGCTGATATCCAAGATCTATGAAGCACTGGTAGAACTTTACAAGATAAAAACAAACAACCCCATTTAAAAAATGGTGTTGGGGTGAGGGTATGCAGTGGAGATGGACAGAAACATCCTCAAAGAAGATATACAAATAACCGAAAGGTATAAGAAAAAAATGTTCTGCACCACCGATCATCAGGAACACAATGCAAATCAAGACAAGAATGAGATATCATCTCAAACCAGAGAGACTAGCATACATCACAAAGAAAACAAACAACCAATGTTGGTGTAGGTGGGGGGAAAAAAGATGTGTATTCACTGCTGGTGGGAATGCCGACTGGTCCAACCTTTTAGGAAAACAATATGGACACTTACCCCCCAAAACTAGGAACTGAGCTTCTACATGATTCAGCAATTCTACTTCTTATCCTCTACCCCAAGAGCCCAAAAACTCTATTTAGGAAATACATTTGCACTCTTACATTCATTGCAGCACTAGTCACATCACCAAAATCTGGAAATAACCCATGTCCACGTGTCCAAAAACAGATTATATAGAGACAGTAGACTACTACTCATCTACTAGGGTAATAACAAATGCCCAAAGGCAACAGAAACAGAACAGGTCTTCAGCAGAAAGATCATCGTCCTTGCACAGCAGGGATGGAGGGGAGATAAGACGGAGAAACTGGGACAATAGTGGAGGGGAAGCTGACAGCCAGGTAGAGGGAGGTGATGCTGGAATGCTTTACGCATGAAACCCTACCATTAACAGTATTTCAAACCACAGCGCATAAATGCACAAATTAAAATAAAACACAATGAAAACTGGGACTGCAGGGAGAGTAGAGCAGGGAAGGTCCTTACCTTGCATGCAGTCATCCTTGACTTGATCCCCAGCATCACATCTGGTCCCCGAGGCACGGCTAAGGAGTGACCCCTAGAACAGAGCCAGGAGTAAGCCCTGAGCACAGCCAGGGCTTACCCCGAAATACGGAAAAACAAAAATAAATTGGAACTAGAATACCAGTTCTTCCTTATACCAATATTCTGTTTCCTCAAGTCCATATTGCTTCCACAAGAACCAGAAAAAACAAATACAGCTTTTTAGCACAACACATTAACTGTATTAAATATACAATTTAAGAATACTAAATGAACACAGTTTGTGTATTAAATGATACGGAAAGCTGGTCCTCAAATAACAGTGCTTTTGTTCAAAGTTGGTCAGGATAGTTTTACACTCAATAATTATAAGGAAACAAAAGTAACAAAATATTGTTTCCCAGGGCCTGATACATGTCAAATAAATTACAAATATCTATTTGAAGGGATTTGGAGGAATTCGAAGAGATTTGGGGGAGAGGAGACAAAAAAAAAGTCACTAAGAAACACTTCAATATGTTTCTTTCACATCTACTATGCTATTCATTATTGTTTTTAATTGTCATGAAATCTCTCCCCCACAACCTTTACAAACCTCCTCCAACTCCCTTCTTTGGAGATAACTTCAATTCTATTATGTCTACTGCTTCATCTTTGTATCTTGTTTCTTCTGTTAAATCTTCTATCCTTACATTGTACAACTGGATTGAAATAAATTGACCAATTCTTGTCTTTTCCCTTCTGATTTACTTTAATCTGCTTAATTCCCCCAAGCTCCCTCCACTGTGTTGTAAATGACAAAATGTTGTTTTAAAGTTAGATATCATTTTATTGTAAAAAATGTACCCATCCTTATCCAATCAATATCTATCAAGAGAACTTCAACTGAGCTTCCAAGTTTTAGCTACTATAAATAACACTGCAATAAACAGTGGAAATAATGTTCTGTATTGATGTTTTCCTGTTACTTGAGTTAGTCCCGTACTATTTTAGAAATAAAAGTTTCTGATTTTTATTTATGATATCTGGGTTTGGAAGAGGATGACCTACACTTTACGAGAACTGTGACTCAAGGCTTCTCTTCAGGGAATCTTCAGATTTCCGATTGGAAATTTTAACTCGAAGTCGGACTCGAAAGAACTTTCTAAAAGCTACAAACCTGAACAATCTATAAGATGAACAACAGAGACTTAACTTTAGCGCAATGCAAGAGAATATGAAAATACATGCCAGAGTGATCTTATTTAGCAAGGTTTCCAATTAACAGTATGAGAGGCTGGGAAAATGGCCACAGAGCAAGACTTTCACAAGTTTTTCAAACTGAACCTTTCATCAATTCAAGGTGCTTCTTCCTCAACCTTGGAAATCCCAGCAGAGGCTTCATTTCTTCCCCAAGTCTGCGCAACTGTCTGGAAGTGGGGGATGGGGTGGCGGGGGTAGAACCTCACGAAGAACTGGGAAATGGGTGGGGAAAAATAACTAGTTGTCATTGTCCCTGATCACCAAAACGGGAATGAACTGGAAAGCTGGTTAAAATGCAGATTCCCGGGCCCACTCTGGTACCGACCTGCGTGTCTGCAAGTGAGGGGCTGGGAATTGCGAGTTTATAAAAGGGGAAGGGGGGTGGAATTCTTGTGAACTAAGCGTTTTGGCTGCAAGTAGCCTGGAAGCGTGAGTTCTGGAACCACACAGACTTGGGTTTACATTCTTCTTCTATATAATACCCCTACTTCTGACTTCTGCATGGCATCAACCTTCGAAGCCTCAGCTCTGGAGGTGGAGACCACACAAAAGACGTGAACGCCCCGTGCGTGCGAGTGTGCACGGGCCGGTCCTGGGTCACCGGACAGCGGGGCTGGATTCTGTCCCAAGGTGCGTGGCTCTTCGGGGATGCGCCCCTCGCCGCGCACAATCAGCGGGGTCGGGTCGTGCCCAGCGGCGGCCGCTGCACGCACCCACGGGGCCCCACCCGGGGCCGCGCCCGCGTAACCGCCACCGCAAGGCCACCTGAGTCCTTGCAGCACTCCGTGTGCGCCACTCTCTGCCCATCTCTGAGCAGGAGCGCTCTGCTCCGTCATCCCTTCCCTAAAAGGGGGAGCGGAGGGGAGGAACCCCCTGCTGCACCCTCCTCCTGGGTCTTTTCCCTTACACGGTATACAAGCCCATAAAGACTGAAAAAACGTCTCCGAAGAGCTTTATAACTGTTTGCATGGGCTAAGAGGCCCCACCCCACGCGCTGGAGATGTTAATGCTGCAGGGGCCCCCAGCCCTGACCCCGCGCGGCGCAATCTCGGCCCGAGGCGCCCCCAGACCCCAGCTGCGCAGGCGGCACGGGTGTCCGCACACAGCGCGCGTGGTCCGGGCCGCCCCGCCCCCGACCGGGTCAGCTGGACACAGAGTTGCAAGGCCTCGCCCAGCCGCCGGCCGGTGGCTGATTTGAACTTTGGTCAGTTGGGGACATGGACAAAGCAAATTCCACTGGGGGATCCCGCACCTGGACTCGGGTCCTCAGGGCCCCGCGCGCAGTCGCAGACCCGCCTCCATCCTCCAGCGAGGCTCCCCGGCGGGAGCCTCTCGCACTCGCGGACACTGACAACCGCGTCGCAGCTCCGCATCCCGGACAGCGCCAGCTCCCGCGGCCTCGGCGGCCCCGCGGCGCCACCACGTACCGCCCCTGGCGGCTCGAGCAGCGGCGCGGCTGCCTCTCGGGGCCTCCGCCGGCCCGCCCCCGCAGCGCCGCCGCACCAATCAGCGCCACGCGCCGCCGCACGTGACGCGCGCCCACCAATGGCAGCCCGAGTCTTTTCTTGACGCCGCCGGCCGCTTCGCGTTCTTTCAAAGAGGGCCGCGCCGGGGAGGCGGGCGAGGCGGAGCCGGGGGACCGCGAGCGGGATGCGGGGCGGGACGGGATGGCGAGCAGGGGACGCTCCACGTGGATCTGGCCGGCCGCGAGGGTGGGCGTGATGCGGGGGCCATCGGGCAAGCTCCTGCGGGAAACAGACCCGCTTATTTCTGCCGGGGTCAGGACTCGGATGCGGGTGGGAGACGAAAAGAAAGATTTGGGGGAAGAAGGAGCCCGCCCTGGGCGTGGGGTACGTGTACCGCCTGCGGGGGTAGCTGATGCTAATGCCATCCTGCGCAGCCCCCACACATGCCCAGCCCTGCAGCTGGCCCAGGCCTGCTCTGTTCGCGGGCTCATGTCTAATCCAGGTCCCCAAATCCTGAAATCCTGAATCCCTGCTGTTTGAGCCTAAGTGGATGTATTCCTGAACTCGTGGGTTCTTGAGAATTGTAGGAAAGAATTGCAGACAAAATTCAGACGCTTAAGAAGTTCAGGTTTGGGGCTGGAAAGATGTACAGGGGTTAGAGAGCTTGCTTTGAGTGTGGCTGCCTGGCCTGTGTTGGTTCCCCAAGCAGTCTCGTCTGGTACCTGCCCTCCGCCCCCAGACACACAAACAGCACCTCCAGGAATAATTCCTGAGTGCAGAGCCAGGAGTTACCCCCTGAGCACCACCAGCTTTGGCCCAGAAACGAAAACAAAACAAAAAATAAGAAGTTCAAGTTTATGGTAGAGTTCAAGTAGCCGGGTCCAGGCCTCTCCTCTACCTGTGTAGGGCCTCACTGTTCTGTGACCCAGTGTAGTGCACCCTAATTCCAGTCCCTTGTCATCTGCTTCCCTCCAGTGTGCGATGGCCAGTGTTGTCTATGCTGTCCTCTGTCCAGTGTACTCTTTCCTAGCCTGGAATTTGTAGCTAGAGCTTGTCGCCTGGGTCCCCTTGCTGGGGCTGGCTGCTCTGTAACCTGTCCCTAGGCTTCTCTCCACCCGTATCCCAATGGTTTCCTGTCTGCTCAGCTTTCCTAGTCTCCAGTCCAGTCATGTGCACATGGATGTGATCCCTGCTGTCCTGTCTGTCTATTTGTCTGTCTGGGTAGGTGAGGGGGAAAATAAAGCATTTCCACAACCCCACCCCCAAAAGAAAGCAGCTGGGGGTCAGAAAGATAGTGCAGGTGGTAGAGTACTTTCCTTGCACATGGCTCACCCAAGATCAATCAATTCCTAACACCCTGTATGGTCCCTTAAGCCCCACCAGGAGTGATTCCTAAGCGCAGAGACAGGAATATAATGGATGTGAGGAGAAGGACGAGGAAGAGGAGAGAGGAGGAGGAAGAAGGAGAAGAAAAAAGAAGAAAGAAGAAGAAAAAGGAAGAAGGAGACGGAGGAGAAGAAGATCACCACCTCATGTGGCGTTCCTCCCTTCCTCTCCACAGTATTGGGATCTGATGGCTCTCTGCTCTCATCCTGAAGTCTGACTTCCATCCACAAAGGTGTCTCATGGGTCTATGTAATATTTAGTAATAAATGTATGGTATATGGATATGTTTTAAAATAGCTAATAGATGAATTCCACCATCACGTTCCTGTTTCGTAGGGGTGTTTACAAAAGCTACATCCACCAATTTCTACCCATATCTTGCAGACTCAAGCTTAGCAACCATCTTCACCTAGGCAGGAAATATGGTCTCAAACATATTTTTTTGCCCCGCCCTCCGCCCCTGGCCTGGGGAAAATTTGGTAGGAATAGACAACTAGCATTCTTTCTTTTATGACCCATTTGTGTGTGTGTGTGTGTGTGTGTGTGTGTGTGTGTGTGTTTTGAACCTTCCCAAGGGATTCTGTATCACACAGTGCAGTGGTAATAAGATTTTCCCCATGGGTGTGCTAAGCCACTTACTAGATAAATGCATGCTCTATGGCTGGCCATATGCTAGATGCTTTACATAGATTTTTCTATTTAATTCTCAATAATCCTGCAAGACAGGCATTACTAACATTAGAGTGTAAGTAAATACTGGGAAATAAAAATGTAGAAGACCAACTAAAGAATGTAGCAGAGTTTTCAGATATATCCTGTTGGGTAACATTGCTTTGTCCTTCAAGAAGCTTAGGTTTTATCTGGTTACACCCACCACAGTGCTCCAGAGGCACTTCCACTTCCATTGTGTTTACATGTAAACATGTAAACAGTCTTCCCTATGCTCTCCTTCCCACCCAGTTAATCAGCTTTCCCCTTAATCAGACTTTGTTAATTTGTAAGATCAGTTTCCCAGAAATCTATGATTTTATATGTATGAGTGAAATATTGCCCTTTTCCTCTCCTTATGCCTTATGAATAGTTTACCTTAAAGTAATATCCTTTTTGTATAGATACAGAAAGAACGTTAACATTATGCTTTGTAACTTAGGATTTGATTGGCCTTGAATATTATTCACTCCCGGGCATCTTTCTCGACTTAAGCCTCAGTTGCCCTTAGTTCCTAACACCCCAAAAGCAGGGTCCCGACGAGGGACTGAATGGACCCAGGGCAAGCAGTGAGCTACCCTGGCAGCGAAATGGGCCAGGCCAAAGTGCCACGATTCTTAACTATAAGTTAAGAGTTTGATCATGGACAAATGCTGTCATGATCCAAGGTAACGACAAGACTAGGATCCTGCTAGGGGTGGGAAAGACTATCTGGCCTGAGCACCGTAGTCTGAGATCGAGATGGCCCTAGGAGAGCAATTCTATAAGTTTAAAATATTTCTTACTGTATCCATACAAAATGATTTATATTATATTCTTGTATGCTTGTCGGACAAGGAGAGGAGAGGCACGCCCATGGGATTCTGCTCTAGGGTGGGTCCTCCTGCTAAGGAAGGATCTGTCCTAGGAGCGGTCTTCCCTGAGGCTAAGATTTATTGATCTCCACCCCTATTGATTGTGACCGCACCTATGTAATTGTTCCCCCAATTCTTCATGGGGAGAGGATTTAACTGTACTGTAGGAGTGGGGTCGTTCAAAAAGAGAACTCCCAGAACGACCACCAACTGGGAACTCTTTGGTACTATTGCGGCAACATGGGAAGATGCCATTGTTGACAACATTGACGAGGAATACGATCGACTGGTTCAGCACCTCCATGAATGTGCGAGGAACGCCAAGAGAGAGATAGCCACAAAAAGTCGCCTATCTTCGAAAACTCTTGAGCTAATTCGCCAGCGTGGTTTGGCGCATGCCTCAGGCAACCGCAAGCTAACGTCCGAGCTTGCAAAGCAGTGCAGAGATGCGATCAAGGAAGACCTCAAAGAGAGAAGAGCAGAAGTACTGGTAGATGCGGCAGAAGCCGGGAAAAGTATTCGTAACGCCCGCCTGTCCTTCGCCAACTATAAGACCAAGATGACTGCCCTCCGATGTCCTGATGGATCCATCACATCCTCCAGAACGGCAATGGAGAAGATTATCCATGACTTCTACTCAAATCTCTTCGATAGCCATGTCCACTTGCCGACATACCAAATTCCACAGGATGGGTATGTCGTTCCCAACGTTCTCCCTTCCGAAATCCGACACACCATTTCGTCAGTAAAGAAGCAAACAGCACCCGGCCCAGACAAGGTCAGACCTGAACACCTGAAGAACCTGCCGTCAGTACTCATCAATACACTGGCTCGGCTCTTCACTCGCTACCTGTCTGAATGCAAGGTTCCATCTCAATGGAAAACCAGCAGGACCGTACTACTGTTCAAGAAGGGAGACATCCATGACATTGGCAACTATCGCCCGATCTGCCTATTGTCTGTCATCTACAAGTTGTTCACTCGAGTCATCCTGAATAGGATTGGCAGAACACTAGATGAAGGACAACCATGTGAGCAAGCAGGGTTCTGCAAAGGATTCAGCACCATCGACCATATCCACACGATAACCAAACTCATTGAGGTTTCTCGGGAGTTCAAGATGCCGCTCTGCTTAACGTTCATTGATTTAAAGAAGGCCTTTGATTCTGTTGAGACGGAAGCGGTCATTGAAGCCCTAGCCAATCAGGGCATTCAAGCCCAATACATCAGGATCCTCCGTGAGCTGTATTGCGGATTCACTACCAGGATCTCACCATTCTACAAAGAAGTGATCGTTGATGTCAAGAGAGGGGTGCGGCAGGGTGATACCATTTCACCAAAACTCTTCAGTGCCACCCTCGAGAACATCATGCGACGACTGGAATGGGAAGGAATGGGAGTGAAGATAGATGGTCGGCAACTACACCACCTCCGCTTTGCTGATGACATTGTTTTAATAACACCAAACATCAGCCAAGCGGCACAAATGCTGGCCGACTTTGACCGTGAGTGTGGAAAGGTAGGACTACAGCTGAATCTTACGAAGACAATGTTTATGAGAAACAGCCTTGTTCCTGACGCCCCATTCGCTCTCAATGGAACGACCATCTCCGAATGCAACAGCTATGTGTACCTAGGTCGAGAGGTCAACATGACAAATGACCTGGCACCCGAGCTGCGCAGGAGGAAGAGAGCGGCTTGGAACGCCTTCAAGAACGTCGAAGAAATAGCTAAGAGGACGAAGAACCTCCGGCTCCGGGCACATCTCTTTGATTCCACTGTTCTTCCTGCATTAACATATGCCTCAGAGACCTGGGCCCTACGCAAACAAGATGAGAACGCCATTCAGGTCTCCCAAAGAAGAATAGAAAGAGCTATGCTTGGAATATCACGTTTCACTCAAATGAGAGAACGAATCCGGAGTTCTGATATCCGTCGACGATCAAGGATCAGGGACGCTGTCTCATTTGCCAAGGTGTCGAAAATCAGATGGGCTGGTCACGTAATGAGATTTAAAGACGACCGTTGGACTAGAGCTGTTACTGAT